AACATTCTGAATTTACCCCAATGTGCATTGTATTTTTTTTCCACCAGTGTAAGTAAATCTCACTGTTGTTATTTCATTACATACTTGAATATCTCTGAGTGTAATCTTTGGGCAGAATCTAATCAGCTTCCTCTGTCTATGCTCAGAAGAGAGATTCCTCAAGTTTCTACAGGGACATACATTTTCTGAGGCAGTCATCTCTGGACATTATACTAATAAAAGTGCCTACCCCTTCTCAGCTGGGGGTAAAGTCTGAGTAGAAAACAACAGGAAGAAGCATATCAATAACTCAGGGGCACAACTCTAAAACGCCGTTTTGGGATGGTTTTTCTAGAGACAACTCAGAGCCTGACTCTTAAAAGTAGGCTCTTATTTGCAATTTCTGTAAAAGCCATAAAAATTCTTGATGTTGTCATTTATGATTACACCACATTTTGGATGTCTAGGGAAAGTCAACAGAGCTATCTAGATCAGAATGGAGTGAGGCATCTTCATAGTACAAGTTTCAGATGCATGTGACCAAGAATTCACTTCTGTTCTCCATGATGCAAAGAAACCAGGCAAAGGAGAAAAGATGAGGCTTTGGGACAAATGCCATAGGGCGAAAGGAATACCATGCAGGAACCATGTAAATAGAAGCAAAAGCCAGCTGGTTCACCTGGTTCAGAAAGAACAGGAAGGGTAGAAGAGATTCCGGAGTCGTGCGTTTGGTTGAATTGGAATGCAGTTTTCAAGTGCTCGGAAGGGTGCTAGGCCTGAAAATTCTAGGGAGACCAGCCAGCTTGCTATCTAGTGGCTACGCCAAAGGACCACAAAGGTGCATTTTGGCAATTCTGCAGTGGTTTTACTATTAGTTTATACATATGTATAGTTTTTGTTTTAATTAGAAAACAGCCAAATAGCCAGCAATTAAGGTGTTTTTTCATCCTTGTGAAACACATAGGCAAATTCGGACTCTACAATGCACAGTGCAAATGAAATCTCTGATCTTAATCTGTATATATATTGTACATGACTGCTAGTAGGTATGAGATGCATTTCCGAATTGGAAACTCATGCAACATGATCATGTGTTTGCATAGGAATGTCACAGTTCTTTCTACCGCAATTCAGTAATGGGAAGAGACTCAAGCAGTGCCATCGAGACATTTTCTCATTTCTTCAGAAGCAGTGCTAAGTAAAATAATAATAATGCTGATTTATAAACCAAAAGACTTTACCTTTTAGCATTAGGAACACAGAAAAAATATGTCAGCTTTCAAAAGCACAACATGTCAAGAGAGTACAGTGTAATGTATAAAGAATTACATTTTTTAAGCAAGACCTGCATTAAATTGGCAAACAAGACAATTTCCATTTTTTTGTAGGTAACTGTGTTCCAGTTTTATGATAAACTTCATATTTAAGAACAGAAACAGGAAAACACCATCAATAAGAACAGGTCTTACAACATATTTATATGTATATATGTGTATATATAGATCCACATAAACATACATACATATATATATGCATTCATATGTTGGAAAACAAAAGGAATAAGCTAATATGTTTTATTTCCTTCATTAAACCAGTATATGAGTATTTTTAATTTGGTAACCAACAATCAACACATTGAAATAAGTAATACAGGGTACTGAGCATTTCTCTTATCAGCAAATCAATGCCTACCGTTCTTATGAACCATTGCACAGTCTGACTCTAATCGTACTGTACCTCAGAGCATAGAAGTTAACTAGTTCTCACTTGCTTGTCTAATTGCTCTCTTTTTCAAGGACATGAACAACATTGTCCACTGGTAATTTAAAAAAAAAAAGATGTCTTAAGAGAATAAAAACTGATGAAAATTCCCCCTGAAAGGAGGGGAAAAAAGAGAAAAAAGCTAAACTCCACCATGTTGGTTAGGGAAAAATACTCACAACTGTAGCGAACATGCCATTTTGCTAATTGTACAAAGTACTTGTTACGTGGGCAACCATAACTTTCACTGAGCGTGTGTAAATAATAAAACAGATTTCTTAAATATTTTTAACTTCTAATTTGTATTTTATGGTAAGACAACATGCTAATTCTGTTGGTGGCTTAAGTCAATGTGTTTTTATGTAAATAATTCAACATGCTGTAAATGAATAGTCCATAGAAACAAATAATTGTGTAGATCTTTTTTTCCTTAACTTTTATTTGTTTTTACCAAGTATTGTAACTGGAGTGCCCCAGCAGAGTAATTTAAACACCCTTTTGCATACATAGTTTGGGAATCGCAGACAGAAAGGTTTTGGTTTGCCCTCTTGATTCAATCTCAGTTTCTTTCTCTGTCTCTCTCTGTCTCTGTCTGTCTGTCTGTCTCTATCTCTGTCTCTCTGCCTCTGTCTCTGTCTCTCTGACACTATTGTTTCATTGCTTTGCTTTCTTACTCCCATTCTTTTCTTCTTTAGAAGAAACCCTGTAGTGGAGATTTTTTTTTTGTTTTGTTTTGTTTTTCTTTTTTCAGGTATTTTTTGTCATCCATGTAAGAACCAGGAGACAGCCTTAGAAATGGAAAATGGGAAAAGTGATTATTGATAACATAGAAATTTTTTATATGAAAGAGTATAAGAAACCAAAGTTTGCACTTTAAGTCTCAATTTTCAAAAAGTAAAAGTTTGTATTGATGGCACTACAGAAAATAAAAATGGTTATTCACAACAACTCCAGAAATTTGTTACACAAAATGGATATTAGAAGACTTTTATTAATAGTAGTGTTTTGCCTTTAGATAGTATTGTTCCTTTCAACCAAAGACTCCAGAATTATTTTTTAAAATGAAAGAAAAAGGGGAGAAAATGGGGGGAAAGACCCTGCTTCACACCAAAGGTTTAAAATACATTTTCCAAATGCACCAGAAAGATTGTAAAAACTAGAAAGGAGTCAACAGAATGATAAAGAAAATACTGTCCTAAAATTTTTTTCTTTTCAAAATTGGGGGAGGGAGAAAGCAGCACTCTTAAGCAGCTTAGAATTTTGAAAATTGAAGACCATTTCTGTTGACATGTGCAGAATACTGACACGAAATTTCCTTTTGCTTTGAGAAGTATTTTTGTGACAAATACAATGAAAATGATGAACACAAACTTTATTCCGAGTTCCAAAGCCAAACATCATCCCATCCCATGTCCTCTAATCTGGTACCAATGCGTATGTCCTTGCGCCACTGGAAACAAGCTGACAGTTCTGTTGGCTTGTGTTGATTTTGTTGTTATTCAAAAACAGTTTATCTATGTCAATTTTAAACATAATTCAAATCTGTCTACCTATGATTTAAATTCCATAATATTTTAATTTTATTTGCATGGGTGTTTAAATGGTTCTGTTATGAATACTGTCCCTGCACAGTTCTGAACTGTCCTTTTATATAAAAAGTGATAATCTAGTTTCTTCACAACGTAGTGATTACCAGCCTTACCGAGTACCTTGTAGCCTTTCTTAACACGCACATAATGCACATTTTCCAATGGCTAGAAAATGCAAAACCTAAGTGAATATCACTGCATCTATTTTCATGTCTTTCTCAAAACAGGACTATTCAAATCTCTGGGATCCATGAGATAGTACAAAACGAGGATTATAAAAGAATAGCACATAAGAATTATTTTCTTGAATTTAAATTTACTGCAGCCAGTTTCAGCATGTAAATATATAATAATGTTGGCTAGTGTGTAATTCTTGAATTAAGAACTACAAATAAAAATTAAAAGTTTGCCTGTGTTGTTTCATTGTGTCCAGAATATATTGTTTAAACTTCTGTATATTGTACCATCATAGCTTTTGTGAAAAGGAGGGCAAATTTTGGGAGCCTGGGATGTGCGGCTAAGAAAACTTGAATCAGAGCACTTTCTTTCCACCTATTAGTTACTTTCTGTTATGATAATTATTTCACAAACCTTATCTTCACTGAATTCTCACCCTACTCCCTGAGGTGGAAGAACATCAAGCTCAGCAATAATATATACCTGGCTCCTGAGAGTAGAACCTGCATTTCTACAAGTAGTGCATCCAACTCTCAGGAGTTTGTTGACAAAGTAAGGGCGTAATCTCACTTGCCTGACAGTGTAATTTTGAATATGAAGATAACTGAAAAAGACCCCTTAGTAAATTACACAATCTAAGAGAAGTGGTCGGTAGGGTAGATGCCATTGATGTTGTCAGTTGTCATCATTCTAGAACATTCAGCATGTATCTCACAAGTGCTGACATGATAGTTAAAACTTAACACAAATTATTCTCTTAGCTTTTATTTTATGTTCAACATAAGTTAAGAACTTACTTCCATGATGGGAGCATACAATAAATGCAACATGATCATTTATGTAGCATCCAACAAGCCTCTACTAGAGAAATACTAATGCAATAGCAAGCAGAAACACTGAAACAGTACTCAGGATTTAGAGGCAGATTTATTTATGATCAATGGGCACTGATTGGGATTGTTCCCAAAATATCTGGCCCTAATCTCTGGTGGTCTAGGAATTATATGGGGAGATCAAGCAGGAAGTACAGAGGTATAGTGGCTTGTTAGTTGGAGATTGGTTTATACAATGTGCATCTTAGTAACTAGGTGTTTCTAAGAGACCAGTGCAACCTGAACTGGAACAGGAACTGTTACTTGGGCAACCAAGAAACTAAAGTACATGGCTTGGCCAGGGGGCACTTTCTGCTACACTAATTATTTTACAAACTTGATCTTCACTGAATTCTCACCCTAGTCCCTGAAGCAGAAAAAACTCAGGCTCAGCAAGAATATATACCTTGATCATAAGAGAACCTGCATGTTTACACAGATGACCTCACCTCTACCTAAGTCCTTGCAATGAAGTTCACCTCATCATTAAAAATGGATAACCAGGA